GTTATAAATACTTGAGATTCTAATTACATGTTACAAATTATTTTATTGCAAGCAGTTTTAGCATTTAATCCTATTTTTTAAATTGCAGTGGATTTTACAAAACAATTCATTTTACACTTCAAATTTTGTAAAAACTGAATTTTAACTAGTCAAAATGTAATATTTGCCAGTGGAAATTTATGAATCTGGCCCATTATGTTTTTATGGTCAATGTTTGACAAACTTATCTACATCATACAGGTTAAAATAGAATGAAATACCTAGGAATACATGTGGTGACCTAAACTTTTTAGGAAACTAGGAAGACCTTTTTTCCCCAAATGCAATTAGCCTAAAATACACAAAGTTTACCAAATCTAACAGGCAGACTTTGTCTCCCTCATAAGCATTATTATGAAATGATAAAGATGTTGTTACAGGAAAATGAATTTCATGAGCTTGCTTTTCTATGAACATTATAAGATAAAAATTTCCTGTCATTTTAAGTTCAACTGATAAATTGATAAATTGCATCATTGATTATGATACAATTTTCCAGTGATTTTAAGTTCAATTTTCTGAAAATATATTTTCCTGTCATTTCAAGTTCATTTCTGTCTGCTAAGCAATTCCCTGTTTTAAATTGTTTGGGTTTGAATGATTGATGTGTTTTGTAACAAGGAAAGTGAATCAGGTGTTTGTTGATTTTATGAGAGTATCTTTGTTTCTCATTTCAGTCCTACTTCAGTTTGTTTCTCCTCTCTTCTGTAAATTCACTATGAAAGATGTTTACTGTTGCTACACAAATCCTGACAGCACTCTTGAATCTGTAGTGAACTGTTTGTGTTTGCAAAGCTGTAAAACAGATTTCCAAGCTTTATTCCAATGTTTGCATTTGAAGTGAAAATGGAATCTTTATTTTTCACTATATCAAACAATCCCTTAAACTTACCAACAATACCTCATGCCCCCGTATTTTCTCCTTTATTTTATTCTTTAGTGTAATAACACTAACACTTGTTTTGAACCACTTGTGTGAGACCTACCTTTAATTTTGAAAAGTAGAAGGATGTATTATATTTTTTAAAAAGCAAAGAAAATAGTCCTGTCAGGATTTGTGTACCTGTGTATCTCCGTATTTCTATAGTATTTCTATAGTGTCACTGAGTGCTGATTGGTTGGCATTACTGCTACTGAGTGCTGATTGGTTGGTGAGTTAATCAGCTCATTGGCTGAATGAAGCGGTTCGTACTCACTTATGTCATGATTCTACATGAGACCTCGTTATAAACTGCTATAACTCGCTCGAAAACATATCAGGAGTGTTGAAATATTCAATGCTATTCTGTGTTTATCAATAATTATAACTTTTATTAATACAAAAGTTATAAAATTAGTGTATTTTATATACAAAAATGTTTAAGCATCTACAAACTATGATTTTGCATAAAAGCTCGACAGAAACCCATTCATTTTGGATTTGCTCTGGAGCGCCCTCTAGCATCTAACAAACCCAGAAGACATTACTGAACGTCGCCTCACTACACATTACAGTGATGACGCTGTGCTGCTCCCAGACTAAGCATAGTTAGGCAGCAATTCCCATGTAGGATCAATAAAGTTCATTATTATGTACAAACGTTTTCATTTTTCAAAGCCTCCTAGAATCAATGCAACGACATCACATTTATGGTGTACCCTCTTCCTTCCAATAGCCTCTTCTTGCGAACAGTACAAATTTAAGAGTTTACAAAGAGGGAAGCACAAAGGGAGTCTCATATATATATATATATATATATATATATATATATATATATATATATATGTGTGTGTGTGTGTGTGTGTGTGTGTGTGTGTGTGTGTGTGTGTGTCGTCAAATTACTAACGCAAAACAAATTTACCTCAGTGTAGTTCAAGCCATGTAACCTTGCTGAGCTGTTTCTTATTAGCTAACATTAGCATACTTAGCATTCACCAGTTAGCAATGCTACTTCTACCTCAGTTACTACAGACAACATACCTTAGCTCGGGTTGTCTTCAGTGATGGGGATGTTTCTGTTGACTCTAGCTGGTTGTCCACAGAAAGACTGTGTTTAATTTGGAAACATCCTTCTTCAAATCTTCTCGAAGTGTTTTAAACACAGCTCTTCAATAATTGCCAGCTTTGGTTTGCGGAGTGAAATGATCCATTTGTGTGTAACTGCTTATAACACTCATTTGAGCTACAGTTCATAGCAAGTAGACCAGTTTTTTCCAAAAGTCTGTACCCTGCAGTTTTCTCTGCTCTAACTCACCGAGTCAGCCCACAAACAGCGTGTTCATTAATTAATGAGGTGAATCAGGTGTGCGAGCTGAGGGAAAGCACAATAATGTACATAAGCTGTACCCTAGTAATTCCCAGATAGCAAGAGGATAATGGGCTGCTGCTGACCTGCTGATGCTGAGCTTGTTGCTCAGTGCTTTTCAGGCAGCCCACAGGTGGCTAAACAGAATATTAGACAAAATGTCACTTTTCAGTGCTCATTTTCCACTCACAGTGTAACTGACTTTTTTTTCCTTCATTTCTTTCTTTTGTTAACCTTTGTAAATTAGTTTAGTAAATAATTTTAACAGCAATATCATAAATAAAACCAGTTATTGTTTTATTTATTTTATACTTCGTTACAGCCTGTAATGGTAGAACTACAAAATGCACCTATGGTAAGTGGGGCTGACAAAATGGACAAAGTGTATAGATACAAGATGTACTTCATGAAGTGGCTGGTTGTATGCTGTATTTCGAACCCAGTCCTGGGGTGTGACGTGGGGACCACGTTTTTTTGTCTAAGCCAGCTCCAAACACACCTGAAACAAGCCAACATTCAATATAAAAACTCAGAAGACACTTGTAGGTCAAAGGTGGTTTTAGATAGTAAATAAAATGACTAGATTTGTGTGGAAGACATGGCAACCCCTGAAGAGCAAGAAGGGCCTGGGTTTGATTCCCCAGCCGGGTGACCAGGGTCCTTTCTGTGTGGAGTTTGCATGTTCTCCTTGTGTCTGCGTGGGTTTCCTCCCACAGTCCATGCAGTCAGGCCAATTGGACATGCTAAATTGCCCCTAGGTGTGAATGTATATGCCTGTGTGCCTGTCCTGCGATGGACTGGCAGCCTGTCCAAGGTGTTTCCTCACTTCCGCCCAATGACCACTGGGATAGGCTCCATAACCCCTCCGTGACACAGAAGGATAAACGGCTTAGATAACGTGTGTGTGAATAGTGAAATTATGTAGTATAATGTAGTGTGTAAACACAGTTAAAGCTTCAAAACATACAGTTCGCCCACCAGTCCAGGCACAGCACTCCATATATAAAAAAGAAGCTGCAAAAACAACCTGCTTTGAATTCACTGTTTCTGTGGAACAGAAAAACAATATATTTGCATATATCCACCTATTCAGTCTACAGCATGTAAGCCCCACCCATCCACACTGAAGATATAAGGAGCATTTCAGCCTGGGCTGCTTTTTAAATAAGCTACAATATTGAGCAGCCAATCAGATCATTAACATAAATCAGTTTTAAAGGCACGGGAACAACCTGAAGAACAGCCTGTTTAACTCAAAGACATAAAGAGACGTTGGAAAATGGTCATATAAAAATTAACTGTGGCTGGTTTTGGTACATATAATCACAAATATTCCCCTGAAATAAGTGGATGTTGGGGGGAAAAAAATAAAATGCAAGCAAAAATGTAGGATATGGTCTTGATAACAATGCAGGATAAATTTGTACCTCCTTCAAACACTCAGTTTTACAGTCAGAAAAAGCTTCAAATGTATACAAAACCTTTGACAAATGCAGAACACATAGCTCCAAGGTAAATGCTATGCATGCAAAACAAATGTCAAGGGTGCATTCCTGTTATTTGCCTCACTGAGTTAGAAGCTATTCTCTGTTATGTCTGAGGTGGAGTAGCTTTCAAAATTTCAAATGCAATACCCGCAGTCATATTAATAATCTGCTAATGCATTTGCAATATGAATAATGTATTTTGAAGTGTGACAGATTTTAATTTAAATATTGGTTATGGGAAACACCGCCAGCCTGGTTCCTTCGCTCCTGCATATTGGTATTGGGCCAATATCAGTAGAAAATGCTGGATCAGATATCTGAGGGATTAAAAGAATGAATCTGATGTAATGCTGTAACAAATGTAGCTTGTTATAGCATTCATTCACATTTTGTTATGGGATGTAAGCTGTGCTTCTCTTCCTGTGGGATAGCAGAATGTTTGAGCAGTTTGAAGAAGACAGTTTACTCTTACATGCTCATCTTCAGTGAGGTGCTTCATTTTAATGCTTACTAAATTGTAAACATAAAATCTGACTGGTATCAGTGCATATGTGAAAGCATACCAAAAAGGTTACTGAGTTATTGTTGGAAGAAAGCAATAACAATGAATAACCTCACAATGTGTGTCCAACTGTTGTTGATATTCGGCAACTCTTCCAAAATTTATTTTGTAAATCTAATTAATCTCCAATAAAACAACTTTTTAGTCCTCCATGCAATTATTTAAATATAGTAATAAGTCCATTGAACAAGAAAAGTCTCTCTTCTAACTATCTGGAGTGATTCCACATCATGGCTTTTACTGAACACGTTTGGGGGGGAAAAAAGACATGGAGGTTCCCCTAAAACACTGAACAGGAGTGAACTGAGTGTGTAAATGAAGATGAAAAAGACTTTTAGGGAACTCCTTGTTTTTAAAACAATGTAATTGACCTCACTAATGCTCTTAAGGCTGCTATCAAATCCTCACAGCAACCTACCAACATCTACTGTAAAGCTTTCCCACAAGAGTTGAGGATGTTACTGCAGTAAAGGGGGACAAACTCCCTATTAGTAATCTTGATTTCAAAAACGCTAAAAGAGGTGTCTTCCAACATCTGGACATACAGTCCGTCTTTGTCCTTAAATTTCTATATCACAGATATTTTACAATGCAAGATCTCACAGCAAATGAAACACTACGCCAGTGTTTGATAGTTCACACTTTTTTTTAATCATTCACTGACAACTGTACAAGTATGCCAATTTACATTCATGTACGTTTAACATGGCTTATGTTCTAGAAGTTTCCATGCAGTTTTGAATTCCCCCCACATATAGATGCATTAACATTTAAAAAAATGTAATTTTTACAAAAAGAAAGAGTGACAAATGATGTAGAGATGGTGGTTCTGTAGAATCTACTGGTTGCTGACCAGATACTGCTTCTGATTTGTTAAAAGCTGCACTATGTAATTTTTTTTATTAAAACTGAAGTAGCAACATTAAACCAGGAGAAAACGTCTCCCCGTAAAGTCTAAAGCAATAATTTCAAGTCAGAGGTGTCCGTTTTCCAGACCACATCGTCCAACACAGGCTCAAAAAGAAGGTCCGCCTACATGTTTAGGTCTCAAATGCAAAGTCAACATTATACTGATGAAGATATGGTGACAACATCAAGTTCACGAAGTTCTTACACGGTTTTTGTTGAATACTCGTTCGCAATCAAATTCATCCGCTCTGGGAAGGGGTACGAAGCACAAGTGATGTTAGAAAGTGTTCTGCACACTGCCTGCAGTTACACATTTCTACTAGTAAGGTCTCCAAATCCCCAAAACTTACATAGTGCAGCTTTAATAGCCTTTTAATCAAGCAGACTATAACCTATTAATCAAGACTTGAGTGGACAAATAAAAGGAGTGATGAGGAGGAGAGACAGAAAAACCCAGTAACAAGAGAGCCGAGAGATGAAGATCTTCTGATCTTGAGCAAAAGTAAAAAATGGCACATGAAGACAAATCTGATTATGACTGCTGGTCACGTAAGCACCATCACTGGAACACTGGGCAATCAAAAAACATTTTTCTGTCATTTTTCTGTCATAAAAGTCTTCTAATCAAGGGTCTAACAGTTTCAATTCCTCCAAGTCTCCAAGCTTGTGGGCCAGAGGTCCAACAGTGTAGCATGTCTCTACCACTTGCCCCTTTTGCTCCAGTCTTTTGGGGTGAAATGCAGGCATTTGGGGTCGATGCGAAGGTGGCGCTTCTGCATGGCACGTTCATGACCCTCTACAATGTCCTCTGAGAGAGTGAGAATATACTGACCCTGAGAAAGAGAGCAGAGAGACTATTTAATCATTTCCATTTACAGCTTTTAGTATATGCTCTTAACCAGAGTGACCTACAATAGTGCTTGGGTTTGCCCAGACTGAGGAAATGTAGCTCCTCCTGCTGGAGGAAAAGTTCCAATTAACCAACTCTAGTTGATGTCTCCTTGATTCCTCCCTCCTCCGTCCTTCAGCCCATGACCCAAAAATCCATTGAGATCTGTTTTCTTTAAAGATGTATCAATTCTTTGAACATGCACAAAGAAAGTGAGGAGAGAGGAAGCTTAGAGAGGGCGGAAATGTATATGGATCATATGCGGAAATCTTTTTTTTTCATACCGTAGGTCTGTAGTAAAAATTTTGCCACATCTACCCTGCTTTTATTAGATGATTTCAGTTGATGGGTTGGTACTGTGAAAGGTTAATGAAAGTAGGGATATGTACGGGCACCCGGTTATCCATTTGAGGTGCCAGTATTCAAATACTGAAATCATTATTTGGGTATTTCTTAGGTTTCATCAAGAAAAAAAAATGAGAAAATATATATGCTAACAATTCAGTAAAACAGAGATTTTATGTTTTAACAGAAAAAAAAATATTCACAAGTATGTTATGCTTGCTACTCCGAAACGCGAGTGCCTTACAGAATTACGCAGATCTTTAAAAACTTCAGCATAATTTAATTATTAAGACGTTAAAGTCATTCAGAGTGGATTGATGTGATGCTCCATTCTAGAAAAACTGAGTCATCATTTTTTCAGTGATAGTGATCAGGACCAGGAGTCAGTGTCTACAACACAAACACAGCCATTTTACTTGCTATCCAAAACAATCAGTGGACCTACACGTGTCTTTTGAGTTTTTATATGTAATGCCGATACCAGTGGTTTCTTAAAGAACTATTTTGTCTTACAAAACCTTATATGTAACCCTCTGTCATTAATGTGCTTTAAAAAGAATATGGCCAAAACATTATTACAAAAGTATGATAAAACAATGTATCATGGAATTAGCCAGCACATACATATATATATACAGAAAAAGCTAAAATATATTTCTGACAAACTAACATATTGGCACATTGCCCACTGGGAAGGGGAACACAAAAAACTGTAGAAGATAAGTCCTCATCAGAATCCAGTAACTCATCTAGGGCAGTTTCTGTCCAACACCTAATGAGTTCCCTTGGTTATTGCTGAATAACAAAAGTTTATGAAATGCAATCCTCTGCTTGCACGGTGATGTAAAAAGTTACATGCCCTATATTCATTTCAGCTGAAGTCTACTTTTTTTCTAATTACATACATTGTTAATGAGTTTGAATGGCAATAAAGCATGCTGATGTTTAAAGTCAGTCAATGAGAGAATATACAGTTGTATGCAAGAGTTGGGTGCTCCTGGTCAAACGTGGCCTGTGCAAAAGTTCTGGAAAATTTTATATTTTGTTCTTTTATTTCCCCCAATGTGTTAAACTCAGCAAATAAATAGAAATTGTGCTTTAAAATTTGCAGAAAAATGCCATATTTAAGTTCGTTCCCTTTAGAGGCTTGCCATCTGGTTTGCTAGGATAGCAGCAGCTCAGTGAAGAAGTAGAAGAAGAGGTTCTTTAGAAGTTTACCCTTTATGCTGACTTAAGGTCCTCCTTCAGCTTACTACTCTGGAGGTCATAACTACGAAGTGACTTGTTGGTTTTGGTCAGAAACATAACGGGTGCTCTGGGAATAATGCTTTTTGTTTGCTTTTGCTTTTCTGTCATTAATTGATGTATGTTTATTTTGTGTTACTACAACAAAATGAAGTGCAGAGAATGTTTATACGATGTTTTTATCCAGTTAGAAGCATCACATACCATGTTTATATTTGTATTCTGCATGTGGATGATGTCAGTGTTCATGTGTGGCTGCTGAATAACTGAATTACAACCAGTTTACAGCACAACCATTAGTAGCCACTACTGTTTTTCGCTGACAGGCCGAAAACTCAGGGCTCATTAAAATAAATAAGTAAATAAATAAATAAAAATATATAGTTTCCCAGTAGTAAACAAAAAACAACATTGTGGTGGCGTTCATGTGTGCTCATCTTGTAAATACAATATTTCTGAGACGACCTAAGGGCAGCATTTACTTCCACTACGTTTGACACTTTTTAATCTTGCGTCTGCCTCTTTAACGAACTGGCCATAACATGGAGCGGTGCATAAATCTCAGAATAACATCATGGAAATTATTCAGGATGTTGCTGACTTTTTAAACATTGAGAAATAAGTTTAATTAGCATTGATACTTACCTTGTAGTAATTGATGAGGTTGAGATACTGCAAAGTTGATATTACATCCTCCTTCTTTACACTGGTTATCTCGCTAATTTCACTGCAAACAAGACAAACAGAACCACATTACTCTTCATATAATCCTAGAATAGGTCTGTTTTGTAATGGTTTTGTTTCATGGAAGTACTATAAACTATACACTATATACAATATACAGCATATGTGCCCCTGTGAACAAAGCGAGGTCCAAAAAGACATGGTTTGATGAGTTTGGTGTGGGGGAACTCCAGTGGCCTGCACAGAGCCCTGACCTCAACCCCAGTGAACACCTCTGGGAGGAAATGGAACATTGATTGCGAGCCAGGTCTTAGGCACAAATTCCCACAGACACATTCCAAAATCTTGGAGAAAGCCTTCCCAGAAAAGTGAAGGCTGTTATAGCTGCAACGGGGCAGCCAACTTTAAATCAATGCCCATGGTTTTGAAATGGGACGTCCAAAAAGCTCATATAGTAGTGACGGTCAGGTATCTACATCTTTTGGCCATAGGGTGTACATAGGTTTGACAGATATACAGTAGTGTATGAATACTTAATTTGAGAGGGCATACTTGATTGTGATTTGCGGTCGTTCCCCATTGTCTGATTTGAGGTCCATGAGTATTTCCAGGATGGTCTGAGACCAGTAGGAACGGTAAGACAGCAGACCCAGATCAGACAGAGGCTTCTCTGGGGTACCCGTCTTGCCCTCAACCTTAGAAAGCTCATAACCTGAGAGAAAGACAGGCATGACAGTTGCATATTATGCACTCAATAGAAAACAGGTTTACTGACTTCTTCCCAAAGCAAAGGGAGTTATTCTTAATTTTGAGATAACACTACATCATTTTGAATAAGAGCAGTTTGAGCTGAGAAACTTACTGAACTCAATTAGCAGTTTGCCATAGCCTCTCCTCTGATATGGTGGTAGCGTCAAAATACAGGCCACATTATAATCTTCTGTTGATTCTTTTTCCTTTAAAAGATTGAACACACAACATAAATGCATGGTTAGGACTGAGCAGAGTCAGGTTTGCCAAAGCCTTTAGTAACCGTTCAAGTATATAAACTTTTGTACTAGGGCTGCACAACATGGACATAAATTGCAAACTTCACTAAAGCTCTTATATATCACAAATCATGATAAGAGAAGTGATATAATAATATTAAAATAGTGTGTCTCTAAGTGGATGTCCAGCAAGTACTTTTTGTTTTAACTGTGTAAACAGAAAACTAGCATCTCCATTAAGCAAACAGAACAGTTAGTTTATTGATGACGGTGAAATGCGAAAATCGGTGATAGAAACAGGTTTTTTGAGTAAGTATTGGCATAGCAGAAAGGAAAGTCACTTATTTGGTAGCATGTCCTATAAGAAATGTTTGCCCCAGTGACAATCACAGGGTGGGTGACTGAAGTGAGACTTCAGCTCTCATTAAATTTGCATCATATCATAACAAATGCCACACAGGAAATTCACAGCCAAGAAAGCTAACATTTTAAATACACTTTCTGAATCCACAAATGACTGGTCCTCAATAAAGACAGCTATTTGTAGTTTGATGCTAACTAAGACCCAGTTTTAGTGCTGGTGATGCTCCATTTAAACATGTCTCTTTGCTGTTGCTGCTATGTAAAAAGCAGCGAGCCAGCACAGGTAAATGGAGAGCACCCCTTATCTAGCTCTGTGCGTCGTGATCTTCAAAAATTTGCGCATAGCTGTGTTGATGTTATCACTGTTTAATTTGCGTTTCTTTTTCTAACTTTTAGAATTGTGCTTCAAATTTGTGAAACATTTGAATGGAAAACCTGTAACTGATGCGCAGCACTGCTTGTATGAAGCATTAAAAGCTATCTGACAATTAAGGCCTCCCATGAGGTGCTTCAGTCTAAAATTATTTGCAGTTAGCCTACAAACACAAATATATATATTCATTTTAGTCCTACAAAAACAAAGAAATACTTCATTCCTTAAAAGGGTCTCATGATGATGCAGATTTGTTGTAACAGTAGCCATTACTGCTACACACTTTACCATACAGTTCATGCATTGTACATAAAATACTGAGAATAAGAGTAGTCAAATGGCAATAAGAAGAGCTAAAAGGTTAAGTTACTCCATGCTGGATAGCAAGATTCAAGCCCAGCACTGCAACACACTTGTTGGGCTTCTAATGCTACATTCCCACCAATCAAATTATGTCACTTCGACACTGCACATTTAACGAAATCCATTCTGTCGTCACAGCTCTTCATATTTATCGCAGAAACTCATACTGTGATGCGACAATGACATAACGCACAGCCCTAATTTGCAACCAAGCATGGACTACATGATCGATGATTGGAGCATGTCTAATAACTCAACCAGAGACTCCCTTGGTTTTACTCCAGATGATCCTGGACATGTCAGCAACTGGGCTATGAGTTATCAACTGAGTTCATGTGAACGATTAAGCTCCTAAGGCTCTACGCTAGTAATTCACATAAAAATGTACCTTAGAGAAGTAGCCAACAATGTGGAAGCCCTTGGAGTCGTACTCGGTCATAACGTAGAAGAGGAAGGGGTCTGTGTCATAGTACAGGGTCTTGTGGTCCAGGAAGCATTTTGCTAATAAACACAAGTTCTGGGAGTATGTCTGCAAAACAAGCAACAAGTGCGGATAATAGGTCTGAGTATAATGACTAGAAAATTATTTGAAGTGAGAGAAACTATGACAGACTTCTACAACAAATAATTACTCTTACATTGACCTTATGTCACTTAAATCAGGGTGGGTAAACAGATACTAGACCAGCCACCCAAAGTAATGTTAGAAGCATTAAAACAATCACCTTGTTTTTCCTCCCGTCAATTTCAAAGAAGGAGATGGTCCCTTTGCGGTAGATCTCATTTCCTGGAGGATGCCGGAGGTTGCACTTTGTCTGTTCACAATAAAGAAACACAACAATTACCTAGAGACAATGAATTTACAGTGCTCATATGTCTTGGGACACCTCTATAATTTTTTGCTTTTAATTTATTGATGTCTTATGGAAACTTATTTACCACATCCAAAAGTACATAACTTCAGCTATATTATAATTTATCAATCAACACTTTGGATGCAACTGAACAAGAGAAAGCTAGTAAACTTCCACCTCCCCATTTTAGATTGAAATATCTGACTGTCAAAAAATATTTTCTCTTACAAAATGAATGTGAAAAAGTAGGGACACCACCTCCATTCGGTCTGCAACTGTTTTAACTGATGTGTTGTTTTCTGACTTAATGTTTCTGCTTTATTTAATCTTTTTATTTGACCAAGAATTTTAGTTGAATGTCAGATTTACAACTGTCTTATTTGGTTTTTTTTTTATTAGTTGATTAATTCCATTTTTACTTTTCAATTCCAGCTTTTTTTTTCATAATATTTGAATGAATGCTTGGCTCCAATGTACGTGAGGGTCACCCTCAATGTATTTCCAAGTGAAGAAATAGGTGATTGATTGAGATAAATGGTAAATTCCAAAACTAAGCATTACAAATAAAATTACTGAGGTTTTGGAAAGAAACCGGAAGTATTCAAAACCTGACACCCTCTCACCATCCAAAGTACAAAATCCATCAAGCCTAGTTGAGCATCAGTTACAAAATCATGCACTCCATGCTTAGAAGACTTCAAATTGTCATCCAAAAGAACAGACAAACAACAAAATACTGATCTACATAATAGAAAAAAACATTAAGGTCTCGCTTGCTAATGTTTCAGTACTTTTACTTGCCTTAATTTTCAGTTATTTACCGGTATCACTCCAAATTTTTCTGGTGGACACACATAATATAAATAAGAACTTCAGCTTGGAAAGTAATAAACAAACTAGACATAAACTGTACGCATAGTGTGTCCCAAGACAACTTAAAGACAACATACTGTTTGGAAAGGAGCATGTGAAGCTTATGGGCATGCTGCTGCAGTAAGACTGCAAACTGAAATACAGCCCATTTGATTGCCACCTAGTCTGTGCTATAAAGCAGTGTTGCATTTTGTAGAGCTAGAAACCACAAGTATGTTGCTTACAACAAGCAGCAAGAAATAAGACAGTGTAAAATTATGCTCATTGTTGCTTAACATAGGAGCGTATTACAAGTACTACAGCAGCAGTGTGGTTAGCGCATACTGTCTAAAATGAGCTTATCACCCCTCAAGCATATTTCTCTAGAGCAGCAGTCACCAACTTCCCCTCCCCCCTACCCCCCCGGAAATCTAGGTGCCTGCAAAGTTTCCCACCTATATGTAACATGTAACAAACTTCTGAAAGAGTTATTTAGCTAGAGCAGGGGTGTCAGGCCGTGGTAGACACTAAACACTGCCCCTCACCAGATGCCGCTGCAGACACTTGAGGCTCTTGAGGAACTTGAGGCAGAACTCGCAGAGGTAGAGGATGGGAAGAGAGGTCAGCTCCTGTGGGTACGGTGAGAAATACCAGGGCTTGAGCCGGTGACGACCCAGCTCGATGCAGTCAATGTTCTTCATGCGCGTAACAATGTCATCATGGCTGCGGTCCGACACCAAACTGCCAGTCATACGGGGTGCTGACGGGATTCCGTCCGAGCTGTCCTGAGAGTCCTGATGCCGGGGTGGAGTTTAGGGAACAAATCACAAAACAGTGCTTAATGTACTTAATTTTGGAGCATTATTAAAGGTCTATGGTAAAATCTTGAACTTAAATTTGAGACAGATCAGGAAAACAACTAATAATTCAATAAAAATGACCAATTACATATTGAAAACATTCTCTTTAAGAGTCGTTTACTTCATTTTGTAAATTATAAAGTCCTCGTTGATTAACACTTAACTGAAAGCACAAAAATAGATTTGAACTCTTCTGTACTGTTAGCGGATCCATCACGTTATTATAAGATCCAATACATTTAGAATCTCCCAGAGCAGATGCTGAACTATAGTCAGGTCTCCCTCTCTTTGTCCTGAGCTTAAACGAAGACTTTTGTACAGCACTCATGTATGTGGGGCCACTGCTCTCTATTCTCCGACAGACACACAGCAAACAGGCAATGGTAAAGAAATGAGACGGACCTCTCCTGGCGGCAGACAGCCACTGGCGTTGCGAGGGCTGTTATACTGGAATACCTTTATCATCTATCAGAGAAACAAAAGGGTTGCAAAGGCTTTGGGACACTTTCATTTGAGAGGGGAGGAAGAAAAGTTACAACATAACAGATTTTACTCTTTAATAACAGGGTGGGCTTGACTTCTGGTCTTTGTTTTGATTTCCTGCTCAGTAAGGAGTCTGTGTTGGTATGCACAGTTTAAGTGAGCAGGAGTATGTCTTCAGTAGCTTTAGCAGGTGTGTATGAAGCTCTCTTGATGGTCACCATGCAAAGGGTTCTTTGAGTGCACATCGTTCTATATGGAACCCTTTTCTTTACTAGAGAACCCTTGAAGGACTATCATCAAGTTTCCTAGATATTAATAGATATCTGGATTTTACATCTACATATCTAATAAATATATGGACCCACACTGTGGACAGAGGGATGATGCGAGTAATATGTAGGGATGTCCTGACCATATTTTAATGGATCGTATTGACTGCACTAAGCTTGATCCAACCATGACTCTTCGTTTTGACTAATGATCCAGTCTGACTGACCAACTGATGATGTCAGCTACTAGTTACAAGGGCTCAACATTAAAGGAGTGGTTCAACGAATAATCAAATTTACAGTTTTCACCCTTACCCAGAATACAGTCAATTGGCTAGGACATGTTTGGTTGGCCTCTTTGGTTTTGCACTGGTGCTATGAGGCTAATGTAACTAAGCAGTCACTAAAAATCTTTTTGGGTAACCTAGACTTTTATTATATTAGCCTCGTATTTCCACTGCAATCCGCTTGCTAACTCTGATGTACTCCAACTATACACTGTATGGCTGTATTATCTATGAAAACACAAAGTATCAGCAGATTCTCAATTTCATATGACTCAGATCGGCAGCAAAAACTCAATCAACACTAATAATGGGACAGTAAGCAACATACTGACATGAGAATGTGGTCTAAACATGAAGTGGTTTTCCAATAAAATGAAATGGAGCGCTGACACATAGTCTTAAATGGAGCCTAAGGTGAGTACTGAATAGTGAGATTTAGCATGTTGTGATAATGTCCTAAATAGAGGGTAGAGTGCTGAGGATCAGAGCTCTGTGCTTCAGTGCTTACCTCATCTGTACCGCAATTCTTCCTCTTCCTGCCAGGCTGAGATGGGAGAATACGCCTCGTTGTGCCATTCTGCCAGAGAAGAGAAAACACACATAAGCACAAAGGCCATTTTCCCCTACACCCTAGAACAGAGTTGTAAAAGCTATATTAATAACTAAAACATTCACTGTCCACAACAGGTAAAGTGTCTGTGGATGCTGTGGAACAGAGAGAGAAAACATCGTTACCGTGGTGATGGAGGTGAGCTGTTCGTCCTCTCTGGATTTGTTGCTGAAAGCTTCTCGGACTGCTGGGTACACAGACGCCTGCGAGGCCTCTGCAGAGCTGGGAAGCGAAGGCACTGACGTCACAGCAGAAACTTGAGATGCCAAAGAGACAGACTCAGCTTTTCTCTTCTGTAAAACGCAATCAGAATAAGATCAAAACTACCTTTTTTAACAAGACATAAACATACAACATTCAAATATGTCTTTCTACCACACCACTATTTGTTTAAATATACATTTGCTAAAAAGTGAACAAAATTATGCACCCAAAAATAAGAACTGTATTACTGAGATCTGTAGGTAAACATGATGGCCCACACCATACAGACTACACAATAAATCACATATATACTGTTATATACAGAGTAAAATAGTCAAATATTTACACATTGCTATGACTTGCTGCACACACAGGCATGTTAAATAGGATTTTCTTACCCTTTCTAATATTCATTGTCAAGCTTCATCTTCAATCACTGTTGACTTTCTTTGATCAACCAACAATCAAAATCTACATGTCCTATGGTTGTTCTTCTTCTGCTAGCACTTATTAACTGTGACCATATACTCTTACCATAAGGTGCAATATAGTCTCAGACAGGTAATAAAAATGAGGCAAAAGTCACTTTAAGCACATCCCTCCCACTTTTGGCAAGTGTCAAAAGAGGACCTCATCAGGGCTTTTTTATGCAGCACAGAATATTGAGCCCATTCATTCAAATGTCTTGCAGTAATTGAAAAGGGTGTTTTTAGTGTAGAATGGGCAAAGTTTATCAGTACCGGAGTGGGAAGGGTTTTGCCTCTGGAAGGAGCTGAAGCAGACTGAACGTTGAGATCTAGACTCTTCCTCTGAATTTGAACAGAAAGGAAGAGATCAGAATAAAAGAGTACAAATCATATGAACACCTGTATGAGTGACTTTTCTGGTAATCTTGCATTAACACATCCCTGGATCTACCTTTAAAGTCAAGCAAAATACTTCAAAAGGAAGAGCAGATAACTCCAACACTGATATGAGTGGTCTAGTTTCATAGGGTCTCCAAGGAAGATATGTCACAAAACAAGGTTTCTCAGTTAACCAGATAACTTAAGCCCAAATTTAACTTTGTCCAATAAGAGAAGGGTTAAAACACATTCCTACTGGATCATATTTTGTAAAACATCTCCAGGACAGTTAAGAAAAGATTTGACATTAGCTTTGGAAAACATCTTCACAAGACATCAATAGCAGAAAAAAATGTTTTTAAACATATCAAATATATAATATATTCATACATTTCATAACATACACCGATCAGGCATAACATTATGACCACCTCCTTGTTTCTACACTCATTGTCCATACTATATAGGTGCACTTTGTAGTTCTACCATTACAGACTGTAGTCCATCTGTTTTTCTGCATACTTTGTTAGCCCCCTTTTACCCTGTTCTTCTGTGGTCAGGACCCCCCCATGGACCCTCACAGAGCAGGTACTGTTTGGGTGGTGGATCATTCTCAGCACTGCAGTAACACTGACATGGTGGCGGTGTGTATTGCGCTGGTATGAGTGGACACTGTGTCCACTCACTGTCCACTCTATTAGACACTCCTACCTTGTCAGTCCACCTTGTAGATGTAAAGTCAGAAACGACAGCTTATCTGCTGCTGCACGGTTTGTGCTGGTCATCCTCTAGTCCTTCATCAGTGGTCACAGGACGCTGTTGGCTGGATATTTTTGGTTGGTGGACTATTCTCAGTCCACCAGTGACACTGAGGTGTTTAAAAATTCCAGCAGCACTGCTGTGTCTGATCCACTCATACCAGCACAACACACACTAACACAACACCACCACATAAGTGTTACCGCAGTGCTGAGAATGATCCACCACCCAAATAGTACCTGCTCTGTGAGGGTCCATGAGGGTCCTGACCACTAAAGAACAAGGTAAAAGGGATGCAGAGAAACAAATGGACTACATTCTTTAAATGTAGAGCTACAAAGTGCACCTATATAGTAAGTGGAGCTGATAAAATGGACAATGAGCATAGAAACAAGGAGATGATCATAATATTATGCCTGATCGGTGTGTAACAAGCTAAAAGAGTATGAGGTCTTATCATTGGCACATTTACAACACAAAACTTGAAAACAGGTTCCAAGTTAGTGGGACTCCAGAACAGTGTAATGAAATGGTAAGTGCTGAATGTAGGCAGGGGTAAAAATGATCTAATGTGGCCCCTCTTACCACGTCTCTATCTGGTGAGCTGGGCCGAGACCCAGGCAGACCATTCTTCGTGGGTGTCTTTGCCTCCTTCTTTGGGAACTGGAGCTTTTTCATGTCCAGCCGGTCTGGAGTGACCCATTCATCCAGACGCTTGTTAACTACATAAAATATATGATGATTATAATATTAATAATAATATTAATAATAATAATGTGGCATATTACTTAACTGTGAAATACTCCAAAACTAGTTAGTGTAAGTCACTGATGCTAAAGTTATGCGGCTATATATTAATAAATGTGCTTACAGTCAACATAGTGAACATAGTAGAGCTTTCTCCCAAGGGTATCTCTGACGCTGAGAATTTCAGCCAACGCTAGAGGGGATGAGAAATATCACAATTAAATAGCTGACATAAAGCAGTGGCATTGTCACATATTCAGGTATAGCTAAACCCTTTACAGTCAAGTAAAACAGTTCAAAAAGAAAAACAAGCAGCTTCAACAGCTCCTTAAAGTATGACTGGTTTATGTTTGTTTTTTTTTCAGGTGAGTTATTTCACAAAACAGCGTTTCTCCCTTACGTTATCCTAATAACTTAAGCTCAACGTCAAGTCTGTCCAATAAAAGAAGGAGATGGGATCAAGTATTTCGGCTTTACTAAGAAATTCTGTTTTGTAAAATATCTCCAGGACACTTTATGAATGAACGGGTTTGTCATCAGCTTCGGGAAACAACTTCACAGCCTCAACTTCGCATGACAGCAATAACGGAAAACAAGTCGGGCTTTATGTAAACAATATATGAACTCAAAAGAGCTATAGTGGTAAGAGGACTCATTTTCGGTTCATATATCGCCTAAAAACCTGTCTATTGTTTACATGCTGCTCCGCCATGACAGCGCGCTGTTTATTAGCTATTCAGCTAACGTTAGCGCGTTAGCAGCGGATGCTAGCGGAGAGCACTTACGCCACTCGTCTTCATTTTCCTGATTTCTTCGGAGCACAGGAAGACGGCAGCCCTCCACGATCTCCACCTGTGAATATGTAACATATTAGCGAGTCGAACGTGGTTTAGTGCGACGGGTTATTTCAATGTAAGGACAAAGTACATCCTGGAGATTCATCAAACACTCACCGAGGCGTCCGCCATTTTGTTCGTCAGAGCCATAGATGGTGCACCTAAGTTACTGTAGAGGATTGTGGGATGCGACAGCGGCGGTGCTGAGGTGGACGGTCGCTACCGGCGGCTGAAGTTGTGACAAGCTGTGTAAAAATGGCAAAAATAGCTATTTATAACTGTCCAAAGTAAAGTGCATTCTAAAAACACATTGAAAAAGAAAAACTGCGCTATAAAAAAGACTGCCTAAACTGATCAGCTGAAGTAAAAGTGAATTCCACCAATTTTTCAAATTTTCTGAATTATATAAACAGAGAGACTTACGGACTGTGATTTCTTCACAGTGGTCGTGACAGGAACCAGGAGTCACCATCTCTACAACACAAATATAGCCATTTTAGTCACTATCCAAAACCACCAGTGAACCTACACGTGTCCTCAGAGTTTTAAATATAATGCTGATGATGGTAAAATAGTCAGAAATCTTAAAAAAAATAAGTTTTTCTTTGGGGACTATTTTGCCTAATAACATCCTGCATGTACTCCTCCACCATGAATGGATTAAAATAAATAGATTAAAATAAATTTTAAGCTAAAACTTATCTCAAAACTAACAATGTGTCAAACATCAGATGCCTGTCTGTTTTATTTAATAACTATCTGTGAGGGAGCTTTAAGAGGCATTAAACTCTTCAGACGTTTGGTTCCTATCACCACCACTGTGAACAATTCTATCTCAGAAAAGTTCTCTAGAACAGAGCACTTCAAATCAAACCACTCTGAATGACTTTCTTTACATCTTAACTAATTATGTAGCATGTCTGAAAAATCTGTGGAATTCCCCTTTAACAGAAAAAGTCATGGAAATTAAGGTTTCTGGGTGATTCCGCAACTGGGGTGCCATTTTTTATGTTACATTTAGCGTATGTGTAAATTTTAAAGTAGTCATGTTGTTCATTTTAAACAACATGACTACGTTTACAACGACCTATGTGCTTCAGATGAATAACTTTAAAAAAAGAAACTGAAAATAAAATCCGTCAACAGCACTGAGTAATCTTTGTTTATTTGTAGCTAACTGTAGCATTTTTAGCATTTAGCTAGCAGAATGAATGTTTTTTGCTTATAATTTCACTCTTGTGAAGATGCAGCTTAGCTCAGCTCTACACATAATTCTGTGTAACTGTAGACGTTTGTGTGAGTGTTCGTTCGACAGTACAACCAGTGTTAGCTTGTAAGTAAACAGAGCTAGCAAGTAAGGTGGCTGATTAGCCGTTTTGTATTCTAATAGTTGTAAATGAACATGAAAAGACAATCTAAACATAAATCACAATTATTTATATGACAATTAATCATCAGCTAAGATTTCATGATCATGACTGCCCTAGTTGAATCCCTTAGCATTCACTCAACCCTGTTACCAGAACACTTTTACCCCTATAAAATATCTGGAAAAAATGTTCAACAGGAATGTACATTATCCAGATTTCTGAAGACCATGGGAAGAGCAACTTTCTCTTTTTTCTTCAATGTTTTAACAATTATTATTAATTTCTATTGTGATATTGACTGACAAGGTCACTTTGAATGTTCAACCCTTGTACTCATATGTTACCTGTATTATATTAATGTTACTGAATATCAAGTGTCATGAAAGTAGATTACTTTTTTTTTATTTTATTTATTTATTTTGGTGCTTTTAAATCACCATTCCTGGCAACTTAATAGAAAAATAGAGGGGGGTGATGGAAAACTTCCATCAAACAAACAGAATTGGGTAAAAAACCATGAGTCAAGCATCCGTTTTGGTTTAAATGTCAGCACACAAAATCAGTACTCTGTTGTTTAATGTTGGGCAGCTGAATACTGAAATAGTGCTGGCCGGTGTAATCCAAATACATACATGAATCCGGTTTAGGTTATTATTGTGATGATGCTGCGTAGCACACCTAAACATTGGGGAACAAACTTAATTTTGAGAATGTGAAAACACGTAAGATTCACATTCACAGCCATGAGACTGCAACAAAATGTGAGTCTCCTGGCTAAACCTTGAAAATTGATAGAATACAGCTGCCACAATGCACTCTGTCTTCTCCAAGGTAGTATTTAGGCCTACTATAAAGCTAAGACAAGTCCATGAGTGCTGTGCTGCTCTAGTTTACTTACGGACATTTACTGAGTTCACCTAAGGACTTAGAAGTTATGAATGTAAATAACATTGTGCAGTGTGTGGTTGTGCACACACTGCACACACGGAGGCGCAGTCTGTTTATTGCACCTGGATGTACTGCTGAGCACTGTGGTTTCCTGTACAAAACCTAATGCGACCACAACATACTTCTGTTCACAGTAATGCAGCTTCATGCTGCAGGCTGATCACTTTAAGAATCCACTGAAACATCTACAGGACAAATATTTAAGCCTATCTTAATTTTAAAGACCTGTATTTGGACTCGTTGCTTGATTTATTAATGTGAGTGGTGCCTTACATCTTACTCTGCAGATGAGTAAACCTTGGAGTACCCCACTGTTCATTGTTGTTCATTCTAAGTTTGTGGATAGATCTTGAGATTAGATGAGAACATGCTTGTCTCTTAGCCAATGACAAATCGTTTTAACCAAAACGCAGGTGCAGTTTATTGCAATCCTTCTCTTAGTCACACAGAGCAATTTAACACTGACTCTTAACCCAGCACTTCCTGGTTTTATTCACAATTGCATGCTGACAACACTTTCAAGATCGCTGCCAAAAAAGTGACAATGTAGCTGATACTCTATAGTCCACATTACTCCACAAAACTCATGACTATCCAAAATAGATAATCAATAGTGTTCCATTGTACGGGTCACACAAAACGTCAACCTTTTGGATACAGCAAGTGTACTGTTCCTCTTAAGCAGTGTTAGCATGCATACTCTTAAAAAGGCCCTGTATACTACAGTCATATAATAATGACATTTGCTTGGGTTTATACATCAAGAACGGTCATAATTCATTTTTGCACAACTATTTTCAAACCTCTTTTTATCCCTTAGAAATAAACGAGATGTTGTCTGTAAGACTGATACACATAAATGACCTCTGCTCTGACTGGATGCTCTGTATTCAAACAGCAGTCTGGGCTGAAACACCTTATAACTTGACCAGAATATGTACTTGTGACACAAGTACACAGTGAATTTAAAAGGGGCTGTTTTTGTAGCTTCATTTCCACATATGGACAGTATGGATTGGGAAGTGAATGGTACATTTTTAAACTAGCAGTTTTTTACATACTATATTAAATTTTCATTTCAAAGAAGAGAGGAAAATCCATTAGATTCTCCATGGTACGGGTTCATTAGCTCTTGTCATTTTTTGGCAGTTATAAGCAAATTGTCTTAAATGTGGATTGTCTCTTGGAGATTCAGGATCATAAACTTCTTCATGGGGATGTTTGGACCATTTTCAGGACAGGAGTCTCTCTAGTCTTTCTCCACTTCGGGGTGTAAGTTCTCTCAGATAGCATCGTGGCCTCCTGTCAGTTTGTGGAAGAGCTCCTCATTCAGTGTATCGTTTTGCTCACGGTTCCGGGTGGACATGAAGATGTAGCCGCCGATGTACTCATGCACGATCTTACAGTCCGCTGTCACGCAGCTGAAGGCGATGTTCACGTTACCATTAAACTCAATGGCGACCTGAAACCCAAGGCAGAAATGAATAAACAGGACATTGTCAACCACAGAGGTTTACTTCAGAGAAAGAACAGTATTGCCAACATGGAGAAAGAGAAAACAGGAGAAAGACAGCTTTCTGTATGTAGTTTTTTGATGAAGCTTCCAGTTATATAGAATGAAAAAACTGATGTTCAGTCAAGCACATGCAGCACACCTGTTTAATGTCCCAGTTGACGTTCCACTGTCTCATCGTGTTGTACCTCCACGTCTTCACAACTTCCTCCACAGTCAGGTCAATGCGGATCAGGCGGTTGTTGGCAATGCCCATCACCTCGTCTTTACGGCAACCTTTAAACCTGCTCACATGGACCAAGAGGCAAATTAAAGTGATGGTAAATATCAAATTCTTATCAGATTTACTCCCATTCACCGCCCAAAAGGTACAGAGGCTGAAAATGCCTAACCTCTCATTTATGGGTTGAAACTTTGGCTGGCAATTGGGCTTAGATAGCAGTAAAGAATATTCCACAATTTGGTGGAACACTAGTATGGGCAACATAAGCTTATGAGCTTACCTGACCACAAAATAGGAAATTCCAAAGTCAGGCAGAGCTTGCCATATCTGCAGGAACTTCAGGAGGGCATCTGTTAGAGAAAGCTGTGCCACATTCTGATAGGCCTCCAGAATGCGAGGGGTCAGCTGAACAAGAAAAAGGGGGTAGAGACATTTACAATGGGTATACCTACAAATTCAACAAAACAGATGTCTTAGAAGGGGAATCTACGAATTTTCCACAATTTCAGTGTAATTAAATAGTTGAGATGTAAACAAAGTCATTCAGAATGGTTAAATGAAATTAGTCATTCTAGAGAAACTTAACAAGTCAGAATTGTTCACAGCGGTGGTGATAGGAAGCAGATGCCTGATGCCTTAGACTTTGTTTCACATTAATCTGTTGGCCTAAAATGTTATTTTCCTTTGTTTTATTTTTTAAATCAGTTTTACTGCTATTTTACCATCATTGACATTACATGTAAAAATGCAGAGGATGTGTGTAGGGTCACTGCTGGATATGGATAGTAAATAAAATAACTATTTTTGCTATGTAGACTTTGAAACCCCTGGTTTTTGTCCCCACCACTGGAAAGAGATACTGGCTGTTAAGTTTATCTACAAGGCACCGTTTCACATCAGTCCACTCTGAATGACGTTGCTTACATCTCAGCAATTGAATTATACATAAAGTTGCTATAATCCGTGGAATTCCCATTTAACTAAAATGTCTGAATGAAATCAACTGAAGCAACTTTCTCAGAAGTGAATGTTGCCACGGGCATTGGATGCTACCTGTTTGGGCTTGTACTTCTTCTGGTAGCGAGGAGAGACGAGGCTGTGTGTGTTGATGCTGTCATCACTCTG